GGTGATACTAATGGCTGATAGTGTTCAATGGCTCAGCCAATCAGATTACAGCATTTGCATCAGTATACTAGTAGAATTCTACTAAAACTCGATAGAAAGACGCAGAACATGTTTTCTACTTCTTTTAGAAAACACCGCGACGAAAAAAAAAAAGAAAACAGCTTGTTTACTTTGATCATCAAAATGTAAATTCTTTTTGCTCGCGCCACCATTACGTCAACAGCTCGTGCTAGTTCTGTGTTTCCATCGACTTATAGAAACACGATTTTTAACCAATCAGCGCGCGTATTTTCTTAGGAATGTTTTCTAAATTACATTGTAATTGAAACGTTCAGATGAATCGTCCTGTACAGATGAAATCAACTATAATATCATCGTACATGCAATACTGAGTTTTTTCATTTGGCAGTGATTGTTTTATGCACAAGCCCATAGCCGGCTGCCATTTTACAAGTTTGTTTAATTTGTAATATTGAGAACTGAACTAGTACAGTCGCTAAAAAACTGCACAAGACGAACTGAACTAATCGAGTTTCTTTGTTGCTTGCACTGCAACGAAAATTGGCAAATTCTTGGCAGGGTGGTTTATACGACTGGCTAGTTTCTCCGGAACAACTTCATAAACATCATCGTTTAAAAACAAAGAGATTTACGAAAAAAAGGGCTTTTCAATTTCTCCTGCATGTTCATTGTGGCTACGCTGCAGCATGTGCACATAGTCACAGCAATTACATATTTAATCGTCAGATTTGTTTTTTTTCCGATGATTCTAATTCCAGGGGAGTGAAATAAATGATTTGGCGACCAACGCATGGCATTGGAGTGTCCAGGGAGTCTTTGAAAAGACTTTTTTTAAAATTGTTTCACCTTATCAAGAAAGTTGTTCAAAAAAAGCTTCATAAAGTTGCTTTCAGTCCATATTAAGTCAAAATATCTTCGGATCTTTCCCACAAATCTTTGGCAATATTTGAAAATCTTCCGAAAAAGTCGGAAATATGAAAAGTTGCCAAAAAGTTACCCATTTACTTGTGGACAATCTTACTCGAGCAAAGCTTCAAGCAAGACAGTTCGCAGGAAGCACCTTTAAATTGGCACGTCAGTGGAATCTTAAGATCGATTTTTTGCAAGTTGTATATCTTCACAAGCTCAGTGTCTCGTTTTGTTTTTGTTGAAAGCTTGGTGTGGATAGCAATTGATAGATTTGTCGCCGTGGTTTTTCCAATAAAACTTGGTCTTATTTCAAGCAAGATTCGCACAATAGCTATAGTTTCTACGTGGATTTTAGCCGGCGCCTTCTATTTTCCATCGCTCGTTTCTTCGTGACTGGCTGAATATAGGAATAACATGTTTTGTAGTTTAATAAACATACAATCAATTTTTCCCAACAAGGAAGGTTTCAAGGATATTACTTGCTTCATGCGACTATCTGCTTTTTGGCTCCGCTGTTTGTAATAACCGTTTTATACACTGCAATAGCGATTTCCTTAAAAAGAATTAGTAAAACCCTCATGAACGTCGCACAATATGAACGACAACATTCTGCAAAGAAGCGAAGACGAGCTACTAAAATGACGATTGTTATCTTAGTGCTGTTTTACATTTGCGTTATTCCTCAAACTGTGTTACCTTTCGTAAATTACTTTAGACCTTCTTGTGCCTTTCAAATATCATTTACCTTTAAATCAGATTTTATGTTTTTCTTATCTTCTTTTGTCAATCCAATAATTTGTCTATCATTTGTGGAAAGTTACCGTCGTGGATCGAGAAACATTGTGTGTTATTTCTGCGGACTGCAGGATAAAAAGAGGGCGAAACGAGAGCGGATAACTCTAAAAAGAATCAGGAATCTACCTCGTGAAAACTGACAAGGAACTTCCAAGGACCCCAACAACTTTCAAGAAACATTTGACACTGTTCAGGAGGTTATTATCATGGACTGCTTTCTGTTAGGTCTAAACTGAAAATTGAAGACATGATTCCTAGAGAAATGTCAGATGAACTAAAAAAAATGTCTTCAGAAGACTATCGAAAATACAGGTATACCCGTTTTAAGAAGAACATCTTTCAGTCTCTGTACTTAAGTTTTTTTCAGTTCGTTACTTAGTCCATTGACTGGAAAGCCGATGAAAGAAACAACATGCCATTCTTTCAATAATGTAAGAGTATTGAATTGAAACTTTCAGATGAATTATTGAGTTCAGATTAAATCAACTATTATATCCACTGAGATGCAATATGGAGTTTTTTATTTGGCAGTGATTGTATCTTACACAAGCTCGTAGCTACTATTCTACACCTTTCTTTAATTTGTAAAATTGCAGTGTTGCCCAAGTAATTCTATTTTACTTTTTCTTGTTAATCTAAGGATGCACTTTATAATAAGGTCAATTAGAATTCAAATTAATAGTTTGCAGTAAAACTTTTCCATGTAAATTTTGCAATCTGGAAATTCATAGATGCCTCGTTAGCGCAGTAGGCAGCGCGTCAGTCTCATAATCCATCTAAGAAATCTGAAGGTCGTGAGCTCGATCCTCACACGAGGCATAAGTATTTTGACTTAATAATATTGTTCTCTTTTTAGTCCATTGAAAACATTAAAACGGGTTAAAACGAGCAAAAAGTGTTCCCAACGGCTACCTTACTGTTAGAAGTAATAATTTAGGGTAAAATTATTCATTTTTCTTTGAATACATAGTGTACCCTTTTAATATCTACGGTTATTACAGTGATTTACGCTCTTAAATTATTCATGCACCTGACTGTTAAACGTGGCTTTAAAATCCGCCTGGCAATAAAATTATTTTGTCTCGTTAAAGATCGAGAGCATTACCAACGTCCTCAATAACTCTGTGATTTCTACTAAGATTTAATTACATTACATTGCTTTCAATTTGAAATATATGACTCCCGCTCCAATAGTTATCGAAATGACATGGTGTCCATATATTTATGGCGTTCCACAACAATAGGAAAATACATTTGAACTAGAATTTTTTGACTCCATGAGCCGTTAGCCTGATGAGTGGAAAAAGAGATTGTTCTTTCAAGTTGTTATCCATTGCGATGAATTTGATTGGAGGGATGGTGGTTTTCAATTGAGTGTCGCAAAACCAAAACCAAGGTAATCACTCTAGCCATTCATAAAGGACACAGATAATCTAATGAACCAATCAAAACTAGATTTAAATATATATAGCTGACACAAAGCGCGGGAAAACTAGCACTAACGATTCACGATTGGTTAAGTTGAAAATTGGCGCGCGTTTTTTTTAGACAATAATCGTGTACAGTAGCATCGCTGTATTAGAACTTTATTTCTCCTTGCAACTTTGCCGTATTGTAAATATAATTTTTTTTATTAATCTATAATTGTAAATCTGATTTAGTAGTTGTATACACTGTTTTGTTGATTTAAGACTATATGTAAAGTAGATTCTCGTAGAATGTGGGAAATGATTGAAGTCCTCAGTCCAACCGACAGAAATCTCCTTATTTAAAATAGTATTCCTTCGTGTTACCATAACTCCATGTCAAGTAGCCAGAACACTAAGTTTTTGTAACGTTTAATTGCTGTCACTTCCTTTCTATGCTCTCTGTGAGGTAAATAACCTGTTATTGAAAAGGTAGACAAATAATCATAATATACTGTACAAAGTCTCTATTAGTACCGGTTTCGTACAAAAATTAAAATAATTTATTTGGACTTGACGCTAGTTATTCCATCCGGTCATAAAACTTGTTGAAGAAGGAGAAAACTGACATGTAGATGAATTATATTGCAGGGATATCTTACAAAATAATATGAAATTTCAATTACAGTATTATCGTTTTATCCAAAAGTCATTGTTTTACACTGATGAAGTCCTTATTATCTGCTGCAAGACTAATGCTGT